ACATTGGCATAAAAGATCTATGAACAGATTCTGCAAATATTAACAAAAATGTCAGACTATATTTATAATATTAGCATATAGAGTCAAATCTCTTAGTGATTACAACGGAAATTGATATACTGTATAATGACAGCAATCCTCTCTATAGTTGAAATTTCTCATATATCTGACATTTAATGACAAAGGGATAAAAATATTTGCACTGAGACTTAAATGTCACTAAAACATAGAGTCACTGTAGCTGTCCAGTCGTTTAAATCCAACGGGACTGAAGTTACAGATAATAATTGTTTTTCTCCAGTATATTTTAACTTTAACGAGGACGGCCTTCATTTTTATGATCTTTCTGTTTTATTGCTTTACATATTTGACAGTGCAGAGTGGAAAAGCAACAGGAAAGAATGGAGAGGAAAGAGATGGCAGGTGTCACAGTTTGTGAGTCACACTGAAATCTGTGATTAATTCAACGCGCTAACTTGTAGGTTTGAATTCAGTCTCTTACAAGTAAAAACGGTCCACATCCAAATATTATGCATGTTTGTTTTTTATTTTGTTTTCGATTAAAAATGTTACAAATCTATTTTATAGTATTCAGAGAAAATAATTAATGATAAAGAATCTTGGCTGAGCTCATTTGAAATTATTAAATCTTTTGGCCCTTGACGTCTGTGTTCAGCCTTTAACCACCTCGCCTGATGTCCTTACTTGTTTGCTGGTGCGCCTAGCAATGCAGCCTGAGCACTACTCGCATAGATCCTTCCATGATCAGCATGTTCTGTCGTTAAGATAATTAGGGCAATTAGTGCTTGAAAACCCTCCGCTGCGCTCCTCACTCTACCGATTCAATTGAAAGGAAAATGGATTAAAAGTGTAATTAACATCATCCAACGAGGCCCAGAAGAGCCTTTCATAAGACAGTGCAGAGGGATATGAGCGTTAATCTCATTCGCTCTATTGATTCTCACTCAGTATTGAGTGGGATGAAGTGGCTGCGGGGCATATTAGCGAAACACTGACAGTCATTCACTATGTAAATATACTGGAGGTGAACTCATGAAGGGATTGTAACTCACTGAGATAACAGCGTTAATCATTGAGGAAAAATGCAGAATTCATTGCAAAAACAAATCAGACATATGTGTATGTATAAAAATATCAAGATTGCACATGTAAAAACTATAAATCGAACACTGATCATTTTCATAGGGTGCTACTTATTAAGACTTTAAAATGCTAAAACACCTACAAAAAAGTCATTCTGGAGACCTGACATTCACCTGACATTGATAATATATCCTTCATTAGATCCTTTAAAAGGTCACTTTCCCACAGCTGACTCAATCTAACATGAATATAACCCCATGTTGGCTTCCTTACATGTTCATCCAATTTGCTGGAACCAGCTGCACATTGTGCGCTCATGCTCTTTATTGCTATCTAAGTCACGAAATGGTTTTGTTTAGCGGCCAAGTGATGGTGACTGCCAAACACACTGTACATGTTGCATGACCCTGATAGCTGCAGGGAGGTCGCGGCACATGTGGACATGCACCGTTGCTGTCATGCTACCGCCAAGCAAGAACAAGTAAACAAAGTAGTGGGCATTATTCTTACATTTGATTAAACTTTGTGATTTCTTTGGCTAGAAATAATTAATAGTGGGAGTTTTGTATAAGCATATACTATATATGACAAGTGGTGCGCTTAACCTTTTTTAATCATCGCCGTGTAAACCTTGATTGTGGCTCTGGGTTTTCAGATGTTAAAGTAAGAGCAGCACCCAGACTGAGAGTTCATTGTGGCAGGACAGCGTCGCTGAATGGCATACCTGTCGAATGAGCTCTGTGTGAGCGAGGAGTCGGCCAACAGGGTGTGACCAAGGAAAATGTGACTGTGTTTACTCTAGTAATGACTAATGGTGTCAAGGTAACAAAGTAGTCCGATTATAGCCTCTGATCCTCTTGTGGTTGTAACCTTTGACAGAAAGAGTAAGAGAGCGAGAGGATGATAAGTAGTGACTCAATATATGAACGTATACAGGGAGAAATAATTCAAATATAGAGAGAAAATGAGCATAGACAATTAGATTCCGCCAGTGAGGGGACTGCTGCAGCCTGTGCAGAGCAGGCTAAAGACATTCCATTAATGTGAAGACTTACAGACTTAAGTCAAGCTCGTGTATTTCCACAGAAATGGTTTGAATATTTTCTAAAATAACTTCTTCTGTGTTGTCTTTGTTTGCAGTAAGGGTATGAAACAGCCTTGATGCTGAGGCCGCCAGCTTTCACAGTGTGAACTCATACACCCTCGCTATCTTATCTACAGAATAACCTGTTATTTTAAGCCACTGTTGTGTGTGTGTGTGTGTGTGTGGGTGTTTGATAGTGTGTTCATGACATGCTAAGGATGACCCCTAGAAACAAACAGCGCGTCCTCTGTTCTGGGGGTGAGTCCCTGCCTTGTTTGTTTGTGTGCCTGTTTTCACTGTTTATCTGTGGCGGCCCTCGGGGGAATGGGTGGAGCTGTCAGGGGGGGGAATTCCCCTCATACTCGTAATCAGCCTCCTGTGTCTACTTGTGTGTGCTACCCCAAAACACATCTTGTACGCAGAAACAGAACTACCGAACTGTTTCTCCCTAAAAGAGGGAGGTCAGAGGTCAGGTTTGAAAGACTCAACCGGGGTACCGAGTCTTCCTCACTCCGTGGTCTTAATTATCTCTTTTTATTTGCAAAACACAGTAAAATTATAGACTCATAGTTGCACTTTACCATGAACTTGTACTTTTGCATTTATGGACAAAGTGGTTTCGACAGTGTCCATTAATTTTTATGTTCCGAGGCCTCAGTCCACACCCTGGTAGTTTTCCAAAGAGCCTCCTTCCTCCGTCTCGGTATCAGTCTCTCAGAGCGGAATCCCTGCAGACTCACATGTCTGTTTGAACTGCTGTTTGATTGTTTCTAAATCACAATATTTTTGTGGCCTCACAGAGGTGACGGACACAGGAAAGAACGCGTCTGCTTGTGTATGCGTGCATGTATGCCCTATGAAGTTCCATCCATGTTTCATGCACGTGTGTGTTTATGGTGTAGGCAGAGGTTAGAGTAGGGTATGTCAGGGATTAAAGCTCCTGTTGGGGACCCTCACAGTTCAGTCCCCTTTCTTCTTTCTTGGAAACAATGGGAGTGCAGCATTGCTATGACTGATAAATTTCTCTTCACCAAGACAGAAAACTGCAAAAACAAAAGTTGGCAAACATGTTTCTCCATGGACCTCAGTGGTTAAATTCATCCAAATGAGAAGATTTAAAACTAAAATGCTACAAAAATGAAAACATGATTTCTTTTTTTTCATTAAATTTGGTGGTTAATAAGTATGTGTGTCTCTCCTGGTCTGGATAACTGTAATGACTCTGGTTTAGCCCTGTAATGGGAGTCAGACTTGCAGTGCCTGTCACCCTCCCACTGACTTTCTTGGCTGGTTACATTTTTTATAATGCCTGAATTTAAATCATACTTTTATGCTACCACAAAGCTTCATCAGTTACTGACATGCAAGACTTGCTTGAGCTTTACTCTAGTGACTCCCAGTCTAGGAACTCCCTACGCTTCAGTGAGTCACAGTGGAGCCCAAAAAATCTGTAGTATCTTTTTTAGCATTATATAATTTGCCAAAGTTAGAACAATGACACAAAGAATTATAGCAGAGTCGACAAGGTACATAATGATCTTTATTGTGACCAAGATATTTATCATAACTCTCTGAGGAGCCGACGTGGCTCTATAGTGCTCGCCAGGAATTCCGTCCATGAGTGGTGTACCTGTGACCCAGGCCTTCCCAGAATCATGCGCCCCCCTCCTCCCTATTGCATTTCTAATAAATTCCCACATCATCATTGTCACGTCGACGCGGCAAAGGAAGGTAATATGTTAAACCTCCAAAGCATGCCAAAAATAACGGCATGTCCGATTGTTTCACAGAGAAAGGCTATTGTGTGTCCATGGGAAGCGCCACAGACCCTGGGTCTCTCAGCTGATTCTTTAAAATGACTGACCCCCTCCAAAAACACACACATGTTTAGCATGCTCTCATAATTTGCATGTTTTTTTTAGATGAAATGGATGCCGTGAAATCTGTCGCATAGATGTTATTATAGATTTTTCTTTAGATAAGTTTTTTAAGGTTGAATTTACTCACAAAATGAGCACATAGAAGTTATTAATTGTTCTGTTTGGAGGTTTCATCCATCACTGAAATACTCAATTAACAGAATGCATTTTTCAACAGCTTGCTTATTTTTGCAGTTTTCCGCCATACATTAGTAAGCTTGCTCTCCACACATTTATTTCCATCTTTTTGCCTACTGGAAGCATTACTGGAGAATCCAGTCTATGTGTGTGTGTGTGTGTGTGTATACAGTTTTTATGAAACAGTATATTTATTCTACAGTATAGTTGTTTGTGCTTTCATTTTGTTTTCATGAAGATGGATGTCATACATGATGATTAATTACAAGTTAATGAGTGTGTGTGTGTGTGTTTTCATGTATATGTCTTCTGTGTGTGTGTGTGTGTGTGTGTGTGTGTGTGTGGGTGGGTGTGTGTGCCTTAGGTTGTGTGGGTGGGTGGGTGTGTGTGCGCTAGGTGGTGGTGGTACAAATATGACAAGTATGTACATGTGTAGTCGATTTGCATGTGTATGGCATGGTAGGGGACGTTGATGGAAAAGGGTGTATGGGCACCAAGAGCTACTCCAAGTGACCTCTGTTGGTGAAAAAAAATTGGTTGCTTAACCCACATTGCAGTGCTATTATGGACTATGGGAGAAAAAAATGCAGTAAAAACAAAAACAGCTGCCATGTCTTTACAGGACATCAAAAAAATGGCAAATTCAGCAACAACAAAATATGTTGATCAGTACAGTTTGGTTTGACCTTTGTGATTAAACTGTAAACTTATCTAAAAGCACATTTTAAATCATAATCCCCCTGTGTGCGTTGCAGATCTTCTACAAAGTCACCAGAGAGATTTTCCCCGGTGAAGAGCTGCTACTTTTCATGAAGGCTGAAGAGTATTCATGTGACACCATGGCTCCTGATATTCATGGTCGGCACCACACACTAACACACACATTCTGTTCAATGCCAAGACCTGAACAAAACATATACCTCACTTAAAGCAGCACAATATGCTAATGTTTCTCCCTTGCGCCAAGCAGAGGAGAGGCAGTACCGCTGTGAGGACTGTGACCAGCACTTTGAGTCCCGCAACCAGCTGTTGGACCACCAGAAGCAGCCATGTGGGATGCCCCCCTCCTCCTTCCTTAACCCAGGTTTGACTTTTATTTTTAGATGGGTGGGCTATTTTCATGCCATTGTAAACAGTGGGCACTGAAGAGTGACAAGGACGTGTAGCTGGGCTGGGACAATATGACACTAATGATGTAAGGGCTTTGTTTTCCACTGGAGACACTAAAAATGAGATCATACAATAATGCACTATGGGAAGAAGAGTCCACATACTGGTGTAAATTGTGTTTTATTTTGGTCAGGATGTTGTGAAATTTTTCAAAACCCAGGGTAGTGGTAGGACATTGACACCACTGAGCAAGTAATGTTGTGAAGAATATATTCAGCCTAAATTATTTGTCTTCAGACTTCAGACTTTGAATTTTGTTATATGTAGTAACAAGAGATTCATTGTAACTTATATGAAACCGGACCACAGACTCTGTAATTGACCAGAGCCTGCAGCAATGCAAATCATTATATTTTCCCCATATGATCTATGTAATGGAATAGCTAGCTCTTAAAGACCGCAAACATACCTCAAGACTGCACAACTCTCATTCCTATGTAATTTACAGTTTAAGTTAACTTGCAGTCCTTGTAGGCTGTATGAATTTTGAAATACATCTAATGTACAGTTGGCAGGTAAACCCACTTACCATGCTAAATTATCTTTTCTGGTGTATCTAGGAGGAGACAGTGACTTGAAGGCCCAGGAACCTCAAGACTTGCTACCCCTCCACATGTCCCATGGTTTACACGAGTGTAAGGAGTGTGACCAGGTATTCCCCGATGTCCAGAGGTGAGTGAATAGCTGACACAAATATATCTAGGCAGAATTTTGTCTGATTTTCATCTCTATCAATGCACACGGAGACCTGTCAGACAGCCATATGATACAAAAAAATGTCTAAATCCTCCGTGTTTTATGTTGTGTGTTTTCTGCAGTCTGGAGGCCCACACTCTCTCCCACTCTGAGGAGAGGGAATATAAGTGTGACCAGTGTCCTAAGGCCTTCAACTGGAAATCAAACCTGATCCGACATCAGATGTCGCACGACAGTGGCAAACACTATGAATGTGAAAACTGCTCAAAGGTAATGTGATGACTTTTGGAGGGGATGTTGAATTACTGGGCCATTTTTGTGTTTTTGTGTCCACATGTTATTTACTACTCCCATGTTCATAGAAGCAGATACTAACTCCCTCGTGTGTCTGTGTGGTTGCTTCCCCCAGCAGGTGTTCACAGACCCCAGTAACCTGCAGAGGCACATCCGCTCACAGCACGTCGGGGCGCGGGCCCACGCCTGCTCTGACTGCGGCAAGACGTTTGCAACGTCTTCAGGCCTCAAGCAGCATAAGCACATCCACAGCAGTGTCAAGCCCTTCATGTGTAAGTCACTAAGACCCTACCTATGTAAGTCTCCTCAGTACGTTATAATAATAATAATAACAATAACAATATGCTTGTGACATGCCTTTAATAGAACAACTGTGATGTTATTGCAAAAATACATTATTATCCTTCCTCAGCTCCTTCTCAAGAGTCAAACATGTAATGTTCTACAGAAATTACAGAGGGGATTATATGGTAGCCGTGTCTAGAGTGGCAGTACCATTTCTTTTAAGACAAGAGTCATGCAGTTTTATTTGCATCAGCACTCTCACATCGTGCTGATATGGTGATAACAGCATTTAAACTAGCATGTAATTTGACTCAATCCCACTTGGCTAACCTTACTGTTGCTTCTCACAGTGACCCAGCTTCACCTTCTGTTGACACTACAGCTTTTCTTTCTCTCAAACACACAAACTTTTTTGTCCCTGCTCTTCAGTAAATGCTAACTCCTGTTAGACCCAAACACATTTTGACCTTTCACACTTTCACCACCTCACTCGCAGATCTGATCTCCTTCCCCTAAAGCATTATGACCTTCACCCTTTGCCCCGTCTCTCTTTCCGTGACCCTGCACACCGACGCACACACATTCGAGCGCACAGGAACCTGCCCACACACCGAATACACACTTTTTTCTCCTCCTCAAACAAACACGCATGAACACACTCACACATATATGTGCATAGGCCGGAGTGACTGCATCTCCGTTGCAGACCTCTTGACTCCCCTCTCTCCTCTCTCCCTCCGCCACATGCACCATTCCTCACAAATAGCAACCACATGTACAGCCCTCTTCCTCGTTCTCCCTCCGAATAGGAGTCCATTTGCTGTAATCAGCAGAAAATATGCAGGTTTAAAAGCAACTAATGGCTGTGTAAAAAAGACAGAGCAGCCTCAAACATGACATCTGCCTGGGAGAGACCATGTGTGTGTCCGAAGTGTTTGTTTGTGTGAGTGCTTTTGAAGGGCATGTACGTGTTTTGGACAGTATTGCACTGTACATTGCACACGTGATTTTGTTTGTGTGTTAGTGCACGCGATGTGTCAAGGTTGTGTGTGTGTGTCTCAGAGCTTCTCTATGAAAGTGAAGCACTCAGGCCTGCTGGGTTATTAATTTAGACACTCAGCGAGCCACTACTTAGCCACCGCTCTCCTCTCAGGAATGTGTTTATAATATTTTGTTACAGTTTATTAAGAGCTGACGAATACACACGTGTAGTGAATCAGATCTCACACTCAGTGTGTCATGCATGTGTGTTGTTAGTCTGTAAATGTCACTACTACATGATTTATGGTGCAGGGCTTTTTCTTGTAGTTTGCTCAGGCCATGTGGCTATACTTGTAAGAACACACACACACACACACAAAGAGAGGGCAATAGAGGCAGCTATCCCAAATACACACTGAGTGGGCAGATTGATGAATTATTCACTATTAGAAATGATTAATTCAATCTTTTATTTTAGTATAAATATTTAAGTAATTTAAGTATATTACTTAAATTTTCAAGTAGACCAACTATGAACGTCTACATCCTAAGCTCAAACAATTCATTCATTCATTTTAATCAGTTGGAAGGTATTCGGATACAGTTTCCAGATTTCTTTATCTATGTTGCAAGACAGATTAACAGCTTCTGGAGAGGAAACATCTTGTGCAAAATCAAAGGAATCAGGCATTTTTTCCCCCAGATGTTTTCTAAATGTTTTCAACTACCTTTCTGCCCTGATTGTGTCCTCCTCAGCCAGGCCACAAATACACTTCATTTCAATTTAGTTTTCTGGGTCTATTCATTAAAATAGACTTTTTCACAATTTTACATTCACTCCTGGCTCGAGCATTCCCATTTGGCGTTTCTTCTTGGCTGTTTATGTAAATCCGTTTCCACAATACATTTTCCCGCTCTTCCCCTCTGTCTCTTTAAATTGCCTCTTATGCACCTAGTGGCTGGAAGGCATCCAAAGTATGCAGAAGTGTAATCACAGTGTGAGCCTAACCACTTCCTTATCCTCATTTTGAAGATCTAATAACAATGTGAGCAAAATCAATCATCCAGAGCTGCTTCTATATGCTCTCTGATATTATCGGATGATCAAAGTCTTATTGGAACGTCAGCTGTATTGTAGTTGATCTGCAAAATATCCTATAGTGTGGGAACGGGCCAACAAAAAGGAACATCTTCCCCCTTTCATAAGCTACGTTCTTGACTTTTACTAGAATAGCAAGAGAAAACAGCATGGGAAAACAATAAGTACTTGGCTACCATCAACCTTTGTAAATTCAAACAAATCATCCATTGGTAGTAGATAATGTTGACAGACTAATAATGGCGGCAGATAATGTCAGACGGTGAGGTTTTGTCTCAGGGCCGGGTGTTGCCACTGTACGTCTCCTAGGGTCAGACAGAGCGACAGACAGGCATACTGGGGTTTGACTGCGGGAAGGTCACTTAGCTCAAGACGACAGGGACCCAACTATAGGGACAAGGTGAGGGGGTGACGGAGAGGCCCTGAGCGGGAAGAGGGAAGAGGGGCAGTAGAGGACGTGAGACCTGTCCCTGGGAACTGGACTGCAGGATAGGATTCATTCAACTCCGCTTCCTTCACAAACTTAAAATAGAGCCATTGTGCTGCATGTGGCTGAGAATGTGTGTGTGTGCGTGTGTGTGTAGGTGTTTGTGTGTGGTGTGTGTGTGTGTGTATCTGTATATCTGCATGTCTGTGTGTGTTATTCAGTTTCTCTGTGTTATGTGAATATTTTGTGAATGTGCCTGCATGTCCGTGTGTGATTGTTTATGGACTCCCTGGGAGCGTCCCTGGGAGGACAATGGGGCTAAAGATGCCTGGGAATTTGGTTTGATGTGCAGGTGATGAGTGGCAGTAACTGACTCACACCGTCGACCAAACAGATTCCCTGACAATGCCAGGATCTTGACACTTCTCTCCTCCTTATTTTGCTCGGAAAACTGTTGTCAGAGTATTGAACACGAGCATATCATTCACACTGTATTTCCTCTGCCTTAGCCCCAGCCAGCTTGAAGCATGTTAACTAGAGATGTCATATCATGTGATGTTATTTTGTGTGTGTGTGGGTAGGTATGTGTTGCATACTGATACGTTCTATATCTGTCTCCTTGTCCCTGCAGGCGAGGTATGCCACAAGTCCTATACCCAGTTCTCCAATCTGTGTCGCCACAAGCGCATGCACGCTGACTGCCGTACACAGATCAAGTGCAAGGACTGCGGGCAGATGTTCAGCACCACATCCTCCCTCAACAAGCACCGGCGCTTCTGTGAAGGGAAGAACCATTTCACAGCAGGGGGATTGTTTGCCCAGGGTATGCCCCTCCCTGGCGCCCCTGGCTTGGACAAATCAGCTCTGGCAATGGGCCACAGCAGTGCTGGGCTGGCTGATTATTTTGGGGCCAGTCGCCACCATAGCGGGCTTACCTTCCCTGCTGCCCCAGCATTTCCCTTCAGCTTCCCTGGCCTCTTCCCGTCTGGACTCTACCACCGGCCACCGCTCATTCCTGCCACCTCTCCTGTCAGACAACCAGCCCATGCACATGTTGCTGGGCACGGTGCAGAGCTGAGTAAGAGTCCACTGCTGCCTCCAAGCCCTGGAGTTCAGGAGTCCAGAGAGCTCCTCAAGGCTCTCCGTAAAGAAGGTGGTGCTCCTGGCAATCAGATCCCAGGTTCAGAGCTCCACCCCCAGAGCTCCTCATCCTCCACAAAGCAGCGGAACAAACAGAGTGACCAGTCCGAGAGCAGCGACCTGGACGATGTCAGCACGCCCAGTGGGAGTGACCTGGAGAGCACATCAGGGTCAGAGCTGGAGAGTGACATGGACAGTGAGAGAGAAAGGGGGGCTGCTCGAGAGAATGGCAAAGGCCCCAAGAGGAAGGCCAGTGAAGGAGGCCTCCAGAGCCCCAGCCTGACAGGCAGCAGTGCTGCTAAAGACTTTCCGGGCCCTTCCCTCATCCCATCCTCGCTGGACGAGCACACGGCCGTAACAGGGGCTGTAAATGACTCTATTAAGGCCATTGCCTCCATTGCTGAGAAGTACTTTGGTTCCACAGGGCTGGCTGGTCTGCAGGACAAGAAGGTGGGGTCTCTGCCGTACCCATCCATGTTCCCACTGCCTTTCTTCCCAGCTTTTTCTCCTCCAGTTTACCCTTTTCCAGACAGGGACCTAAGACCTCCAGGCCTGAAGGGCGAGCCACAGTCTCCAGCAGATGACTGCAAGAAGGCCCAGGGCAAATCTTCGTCCGAGTCACCATTTGATCTCACTACTAAGCGAAAGGAGGAGAAGTCGGCCACATTTGCCCACTCCAAACCAGAGGCTTCCCATTCCACTGGTCAGGATCAGCCGCTAGACTTGAGCCTGGGGTCTAGGGGCCGTGGACGCAACCCAAGAGAGGAGGAGACAAAAAATAACCTGGGGTATGAGGAGGAGAAGGCAGTGGTGGAGATTCCGAAAGCTGACACTTCCTTACAGCATGCCAGGCCCACCCCTTTCTTCATGGACCCCATCTACAGGTATTGTTATTCCCAGTAGCTTAATTAACCATAAGTCAATCACTACAGCAATTTTACATCATGTTTAAATCGTAAAACATACTTAACCTGCTGTTACACATAGTATTATTCAAGAGCAATACTGAATATAAGTGTACCAATATTTGCTGCTGCACATGCGTTAAGAGCTAACAGAAATCTACTATTAGCAGGGTTGAGAAGAGGAGAATGAGCGATCCGTTTGAGACTCTGAAAGACAAGTACATGCGGCCAGCTCCAGGCTTCATCTTCCATCCACAGGTAGGTTCTGACTCTATGCATCAGCGGGAACTGGGGAATTTTAGAAGGAATATAGTAAGGTGGCACACACCTTGTTTGCACAAAGGACTTAATCACACATTCTCAGCAGTGCAACATTTTTACTTATCTTTGGATTTGTTCAGGCAGCTCTCGGTCTGCCCTGCCCCTTGAATTCACAATAGCTGATGACTCGTAACTGTGGCAACATCAGTGTTACAAGTGCAATGTTAGCTTCAGATGTGAAATTCTATGATGATTCTTTCTATAAGGAGCTCCAATTTAGAATGGTTGTCCTAAACTGACCAAACTGGATTAATGAGGATTAGTATGTGGCTCCAGCCTTTTCCAAGCTACTGCCTCTTAAGCCCGTCGTTGGCTATCTGAAACAGATGTGGCAGAAAGAAAGGGCACCTCTTGACATGTCTTCCCATAACATATCTTTGATTACAATATAAAAAATGATATGCTCTTAAAGCAATGATTTCTGCCCCGGGGTTCCGTATTTCCAGGGTGAGACTCTCTAGCATATGTGTGTGTGAGCACGGTGCACGCGGGTGTATGCGTATGTGTTTCTATGACGTGTTGCATTGACGTTCATTTGTTCAATCTTCCCCCACGGGTGAGAACGGTCCGTCGGAAAGTGAAAACACCACTTTCTCAGGCATATGATTTTTTTTCCTCTTTTCTGGCCGTTTCAGGTCTGGTTTTTACAGGCTGTTTCATTTGTCTGATTTATGTCCCCTGTCCAGACTGCTGCATGGGCCCAGCCTGTAGCAGCCACATGGCTGTCCCACACGCCTTAATGAGGTGTCCTATCAGTAGAAACACTAACAGAGTGCTTAGGCCATCTTTATGACTTTATGATGTCTGGACACACAAATCATTCCCAGAAAGACCAGACCCGGGTAGGTCTAAGCCAGCCCAGGCAAGGGGCCCTTCTGTGTACTTTTGAGGGGGTTTGTTTTCAGTCACCTGACTCACTCTTGAACCATATATCAAAAAAGTAGTTGCAAAGCTGAGGGGACTGGAACTTTTTTTTCGACCTTTAGTGATTCAGCTTTTTATTTCCTGGCAGGAAATTTTACTGCTAAGCAATACTGGCTTAGATTACATACTGGAATTGTATTTGTAGCCTGCTATAATGAGCTTATTGAACACCAGGAAGTGTTGGGAACTATTAGAGCCTTCTGTAATTCCAGCACCATAACTCTGCAGATAGGCTGCTCATTCAAAGTTAATCACACCAAGACCCGTCATTCCCTCTGTACCCATATGTGTCCAATCAATAGCTGCTGCTTCATGCGCAACTTCCTGGTTCTGACTGCTGTCTCTTTTCCTTCTGTTCCGCCCTTCAGTTTCGTTTGCCAGATCAGAGAACTTGGGTAAGTTCCTCTACCTGTACCTCTATCAAACAGACCCCATCCCCTAATTAATGCATGGGCTGCATAACAGTTTACAACTGACATCACCCAGCAGTCGCATGGCTTCAGTCAATTACCATCACGCACTGACTGGACATTTCTAGAACCACCTTCTTATATGTTAATAGAAAGAAATTTCATGTTTGAAATGTTTATATTGTACATGATATTATATTGTTGTACAGATTAACCTTCAGTATTTGAGTCCTATTTTATGATTGGTTTACATCTTTTCATCTGGACATATCCCCTCTCTGATTCACATGAAAGGGTTTAAGTGGGGATTTCCAGCCGAGCTACACCCAGTCCATACAGCAACTCTGAATATATGTTTGCTTATTTGGAGAATGAAGCAGAGCTCTTGCAAATGGGCATGGGGGGGGATGAGTGGAAGGTGGGGAGGAGGGTGGTGTTTAGGGGGGCTGCTTTACATCACCGCAAGGGTAACAGTCTCTTTGGGACACTGACAGGGGGAGTGGGGGGCTAGTTTCTCCCTCCAAACATCTGGTTCCCGATAAAGATCAACAATTGAGAATGCATCTCGCTAATTAAGGCCCTCACAGCATCACTGACATCTGAAGATAGCCAATCAACTGCTAGTCCCAGAGCGACGCTACAGCAACAAGCAAGTT